TTGACTTAGAAACCCCCCTCCCCATATACACATATGGAAAAGGTTGATAAAATGTAACAAAAATTTATAATTCATGGCCAAATTCACAAAGAAAATAAACCCCAGGTGATACACATACACACACAAAATAACCACCCACAAGAATATATTCAAGTATAGGTTATATAGGATAGAAAAATGAAACTGAGTTCCCTATATAAAGCCTAGAATTTCAGTGGGCTGCCTTTTTCTTATTTGAAAAAAGGACTAAATGATCTCAATTCACCAGACTAGATAAGTGACTAAAATTTATCTTCTGCCCCAAGGTCCTAGGTTAGGAGGATAGCCATCCAAGGGAAGGGGAAATCACAAGCTTTCCCATGTGCATGAGTAGGTTCAGAATTTATGTTATTCATCTAACTCAGGGAACCCCAAATCAAGAAATTATTAAAATTGTTTCAGGATAGTGGAATCCCCAGGGCCTTGATATAAGCAAATACAGAACCTCTCTGTAGAAATATTTCCAAGTTCAAGGGCCAACAGACAGGCAAAAATAAATAAAAGAAACTAGAAGTTGAACATAATAAAAAATTGTAAAGCTCATGAAGAGAAAGGACTCATGAAGTTGAACTGTCAGATAAAACATTTAAGAGTTAGGATGCCCAAGAACTGGAATTAATAGAAGAATTTCAATTACACTATAAAAATTTTAAAAATAAAAAGGAATTTAGAAAATTAATGCAATGGTATAATATGAAAAGGGCCAACTATAACATCTCCACATAAAAAATATAATTAAAATAGCCCCTGGAAATCGGTTAAACAGATTAAGATGCATTATAAGAGAAGTGTGAATTAAGTGAAATTAGAGGAGCATCAGTGAAATGGAATTTCTTTACCATTTGGAATAAATCAGTGACTATTTTACACATGCTTCTTCCATAATAATTACTACAAGTTAGTTTTTATCTGAAGCATCTTAGTATAGTAACTAAATTGACAGGCTCTATCCCCAAGTTGGTATATTTCTTCTTAAAACTAGTAAGATGTCTTTAAAAATATTTTTTAAATAAATTCTAGATGAATACTTTAAGTAAAACCTCCTACTACTCATTTCATTTGCCCTTGATTTTTGGAAAAATATTACTTGGTTTTATTTCACTAAAATGTGATTCTTTAAGATTGATTAGCTGAATGGATAAAGAAGATGTGGTTTATGTATACAATGGAATATTACTCAGCCATTAGAAACGACAAATACCCACCATTTACTTCAACGTGGATGGAACTGGAGGGTATTATGCTGAGTGAAGTAAGTCAATCGGAGAAGGACAAACAGTGTATGTTCTCATTCATTTGGGGAATATAAATAATAGTGAAAGGGAATATAAGGGAAGGGAGAAGAAATGTGTGGGAAATATCAGAAAGGGAGACAGAACATAAAGACTCCTAACTCTGGGAAATGAACTAGGGGTGGTGGAAGGGGAGGAGGGCGGGTGGTGGGGGTGAGTGGGTGACGGGCACTGAGGGGGACACTTGACGGGATGACCACTGGGTGTTATTCTGTATGTTGGTAAATTGAACACCAATAAAAAATTAATTAAAAAAAAACTTAGCCATTAAGTTTTATCATAATAAAAGGGAAATTGATACTCATGCATATAAAAGGTTAAGAATAAAAACTAAATAGAAAATAACAGCTAAACTTGATATATATATTGGTAAAGCTTATCAAAAGACTGCTTAATTGTGCTCATCTCAGTAATACAAAGGCTCAAGTTCGATTAAGTAACACCTTCAGCAACCTAAAATAAACATTTATTACATATAAGTTTATAGAAAAGGTGCTTCTGACAAGTTCAATGAAAACTTCAGAAGCTGTCATATAGTAGTTGTAGTACCTTAACATGCACGTGCATTACATATTTCTGTGTCCAAGCCGATCAGCATCTTCTGTCATTTTCATGGGCCCCCACAATCAGAATTTTTTTTTGCATGTGAAAACTCCTATTTAACTCTCACTAAATTATTTCACAATTTATAAAATGATTAGATTGACCAAATGAGAAACCATTGAAAACCACATTCTATCACTGTTAAATATGCTGAGAGTTTAAATGAGAAGACTTGCTTTAAAACTTTATAAAAGTAAATGACACTCAGTGATAAGACAAGCTCTCCATCTAGTGGTTGGTTTATAAATTACAAGCATTTAGATCTCTAATAATAAATGTAAATTAAAAAAATAATAAAATAAAATAATACATGTATTGGAGGGATTATCTTATCAGTATTGTCTCATTCTATATATACTTCTTTTATTACTGTGTAAAAGTATTTCAAGAAAAAAAATGTTCTCTTCTGCCAGAATAGTCCAGCCCTACCTATTGAATTCAAAGACAAACTACTTCTACAGTCTGATTTCATCTGCATGGAATACCACAGCCTCTTAGTTATTTGATGAAGCATATTCCCACAGTAAAGGGACAAAATTGTTTCATTCCTATTAATTATAACCTCTAAAATTTCAGCCAGTTTTGAAACACTTTCCCTTCATTCTCATTTCCCAAGTGGTAAAAGTATAACTAAAAGAACCATTTCAAAAGAGAAGAAATACCATTTTTGTCAGGAAATGTAGCATGTTTGATTGTTATTTCTTCCATTTGCCTCTACAGGCTCTCAATACTTCACACATGGACAGCTGTGATATTCTCTTAAATGTTCTCCATGCTTTTGTCTCTTTACACCCATAGTTACCATAGTTATCTTTCTAAAACACAGAAGTAAGTTGTCCCCTTTCTAAAAACCACAGAGAACTCTCCAGAAGTATATAGTTAGCATGGCATATGAAGAGCTTTCAAAATCCAATCTTAACCTCCCTTTCTAGCCTTATCTCTTGCCATTTGCTTTCATCGTAAACCTAAGAATTTAAGCATAACAAACCAGTTGCTATTCTTCAGCGACTTCTCTCTCTCTCTTGCTGAAGCTGCCACATTAGGAATTCTCTCTCTTCACTGTGAAGTCCTACTTGTCCTTCTAGATTTGTCCATTCATAAAATAAAATATTTTTTGAATGCCCACTCTGTGTCAGATACAATGCTAACTGCTAGTGATATAGCAATTAATAAGACAGTGACAGTCTTTACTCCTTTATGAGACTTATAGTTTCATAGGAAATAAAGCAAAAGGATATACAGATAAATGTAGGTATAGTTAGGAAGTGACAGATGCATTAAAAGTATTTTTACTTTTAAATGTGCCTGAGTGGCATAGTCAGTTAAGCATCCAACTCTTGGTTTTGGCTGGGATCATGATCACAGGATCTTGAGATGGAACCCCACATCGGGCTCTGTGCTCAGCGCAGAGTCTGCTTGGGGCTCTCTCTCCCTCTCCCTCTGCCCCTCCGTGCCACTCACTCACTCTCAAATAAATAAATACATAGATCTTTAAAAAAAAAAAAAACCACACACAACATATTTTCTTTGAAGACTTTCTAGCCCCCTAGATTCTTTTGTAACAATTTATGTATACCTCTAATATACTCTCACCTTATATTAAATATCTGTCCCCCCCAAAAAAAAACAAAAAAAATTAAAAAAAATAAATATCTGTCCCTCTTCTAGTCTTCTGGATTAATTTATAAATGTACTAGGGTAATACAACACCATATTATTATTGGAATTTTTTTCCATGTTTAGTTGCCTCCAGTCCTGGTCAAGGACAATATCTTATTGCCTTCTCGGTACCACATTTTTTTAACATTGACTGTCAACACTACTTAACACATTGTAGGAACTCATATACCATTTGGATTAATGGATGGGTGGATGGATAAAAAGGATCACTATTACATTGCACTACTACAATTTCATATTACTAAATTTCTCATGACAAATTATAGTTAGGCTGAAATTACTCTGATCAATTTATAATCTCGGAAAGGAAGATAAAACTCATTTTGATTCTATGATCAATATATTGGAATAATGGATAAAAAGAAAAAACTGTTCTAGGAAGCTATTATCAGATCATTTCATACATCTCTATAACACCCTGGAAAGCTTCCTCTGAAGAAAATTAGCCTATGTTAAGTCCAAAAGAATTATTCCATGGATCACAAAGATAGGTAATAAGTAGTAATAAGAATCACTACCCTCTATAAATATATTGTCATAAAGTATGTTATCTTAGGGTGAATAGAATTCCTAAAGAAAGACTCAAACCAAAAAGGTGAAATTCAATGTGAAAATTTCATGTATGTCTGTGTATACACATGGACACAACTACACACACACATACACATTCAATGTGAGCCATTTTGTGGTAAGGACTCCTTTAAAAAAATTTAAGATCAATGCATTTTTAGCCTTCATTATTAGAGTCAGAAACAGTATTTCATTATATTCTATGCTGGTTTCAGACCACATAATAAGTACAGATACACATTATTTTCACTTCTTCATTTTAAAGTAAACATTGAAAAATATCAGTTATTTTAGAGAGCAAAAGAGATGGTAAACATTCTAGAGACTAATATATGAGTAGTATATCAATCATGAGGATTGATTAAATGAGAGTTGTGAAATAGCCATATTAGGGAAGATTTGGTTTATTTTGTGGTTCCAGAGGGTAATTCTAGAACCAATAGATTTCAGATCAAGATAAAGAACTTTCTAATAGTTTAACAGGCCTTTAAATGGAACAAACTGCCTTGTGAGAATTCCCACTTCTGGAGATGTTCTGTAAAGAATTCAATAGACCTGGTCAAGGATGTTATGAATGGAAGTGTAGTCTTGAGTATTTCTAAAAATGTTTCTAAGTCAAAGATTCTGTGAACCTATGATAAGAGAACTTGGCTTGAATTTATTTATTTGTAATTTATTTTTTGTAACATTCTCTAATATATACATTATTTACTCTGCATACCTTTTGCTGACTTGGGAATTTCAAAGAAGATAAAGACTTGTGTTGCTTTTTACCAAATTTTAATAAAATAATGATAATACTTTTCACTTATGCAGCACTTTTCATCCAAGGATTTCAAAGTGCTTTACAAATATGCACTAATTAAGGCTCACAAACAGCTAGAGGTAGGTGATTTTCTTCCCTCTCTACAGGAATGTCAACCCTGGCATAGAAGGCCAGTAGGAGCCTCAGAGTGCCGAGGATTCTTTACTGGCTGCTATTCCCCCTGTAACGTGCTGCATGTGAAGTATCACTTGTCATGCCTGGATTTCTCATTTTCCCCCTCTGAATTATTGCAAGTTTAGAAATACAATGAATGCTATTAAAAATTTGTTTGACATCTTGTTAGTATTACAGAAAATCCTGTCTCTTGCTTGCTGAATGCTAATTAGATTTCTAAATGTTTGGGTAAAGATAAAATCTAGATGTGGTTTTACGTTTGTTGTTAAATTTTAAATATATATTTTTTCTTATGAAGAATTTGTCATTTTCCTTTCTAGGTACCTCAAATCACTGTTCTTGGGACATAAAATTTAGTAGCAGACAGATTTGGGGGCCTTACCTGGTTGTCTTTTCATCACAAACCGGAACCATTTTCTTTTAACTAGAAATATACATTTTTAAGAAGAGATTGCATTTTGTTGCTTTTCTAACTTAAAGATCTAAAAAATGATATCTAGACATTGAGGATGATGGTTAAATGACACTACATAGTCCTCTTTTAAAAAGTGGTTTAGTAGTAGCATATTCCGATCTAGAGGTACACACCACTTTTTATGTAGGTTAGGAATACCAGGAAGAAAATATGTACATATGGAGACACACATGCAGTGTTAGATTAAATTCCAATAAAAATAGCCAGATATACAAACTTTCATCTGAAGGAGAATGGTCACACAGGGAAAGGACAGGAGTAGTGTATCACAGCTGTTTGAGTACTTGTGTTTCCTAGTGAGGGCATGCCAGTGCCTTTGTTACTGTGTCCTCAAAGTCCTTAGTGGATCAGGAAAGCACAATTTTTGCTGTCACAATTCCCTTTTATATTCACAGTTTCAATCCCCTTCTTGTAGAACTTATGTAAAGAATCTATCTGCTTGTGTTTAAAGGAAAACTTACTGTTAGGCTCTCCTCATTCTGAGCTAGATTCAACATTAATAAGGCTACATCTTGATTCCAAGGGTGAAAGTACAGCAAGTGTCCACGTATCCCAAAAGAATATCTATCTTCAGCTTTCAGCATCCTGAAAAGTCCAAGTTCTCCTCTATATTAGAATCAAATGAGAGTTTAAAGAGTCAAGCTTTTGTGTTTCAGAGTGAACTTTATTTAAAAGATATTAACTGTGTGAATATAGCTGATCTTTCATAAAACAAAAGGACCTACAACTTACATCAAAGTACCATGCAAACTGGTCATAATGTTTCAGACATTCTTTTCTTTAAACAGCAAGTTCATCTGTGATACATGATGGATAATTACAGAAAAACTGATTTTTAATAGTTTCTAATTTTTCCCCTTAAAATTTTTTCCCAAGGGATATCTATGGAAGTTCAAAAAATTTGGCCTAAACACACAGATGTCTCTGGGTGAACTGTCGACTGAGTAAATAGAACTTCATTACAGTAAACTTGCAGGCTCAGAAACTCAAACTCATCAGTTTGAGTTCAAGGTTTGATCTTACTTTAACTGACTTGGGAGTGCAAATTCTTACCAACAATGTGACGGACAAATCTTTTTTAAAACATCTGAGTATCTATCTGTCAGTGTACATCAGGCAGATTGAATAATGTCTAAGTTTATCCTTTACATAACCTTTTGTCAAATCACATGGGAATACAATAATCGGAAGTTTGCTTTTTGGTCGTAGAAATAAAATACAGCTTTGCAGTTAGAATGTATAATGACCTCAGACTCTCAGAACCTTTTTTAAGTCCTGTTCCTCAATGAGGACAAGCCTGCCAAAAAGGTCAGATGTTCCTGATAGTATCCTGATAGTCACCCCAAGGAATTGCTTGGGTTAGTTGCTAGCTTTGCCTCTGAGGAGCATCTTGTTCTGTGCCAACATGGCTAACAGTTTCCCTTCTGAGGATTCTCTTCTTCTTTTAGAACTATGGTACTGTTGCTGTGAGGTCCCTTTGTGAGATGTTCTGTTTTTAAGGCGCCTTTGTATATTTGTTTGTGCTTGTTGTTTCTACTCTGTGCTGCTTGTTTCCAAGTTCCTGAAAGCCTCTAGATTGAGAAAAAGAAGATAAAATTAACATGAGTTTAACCTAAGTCTCCTGCATCTCAGAAGAGATGCTAAAAAGAATAAGCAGTATCCGAAGGCAGGCAGTAAGTAGATGAAAAGGAAAGGAGTTGAAACCTATAAACTATACAATCAACCTTTACATAATTGAAAGTAGTTTGAATATGTGGGTATTTGTTAACCTTAGTGCTTCAGGAGAAAAATGTCACCGGCCAACTCTTCCTCTAATTTTAAACTGAGTTTGTGGACTGCATTACTTTCTAAAACCTCTTTAAAGCTACCTCTAGAACAATGTTTCCCTTCATCATAAAATTAAAATTTCTTCCCATGAGACCAAGGAAATATTTATATTTTTCCATTTCAAAATAAATTCAGACTTAAAAATTTCAACCAACTTTTAGGAATTATAGGCAGGTTTTGTTTGTTTTCTTTTTTAGAAGGAGCCCAAAAACTTTCTTTTCTTCAGGATGACTCACTACCAAATGTTAACGTAAAACTTATATCTCAGAAGACCCATTTCCTGAGCAGTAGATTCATGTGAATAATATACTCCATAGGCATTATATTTCCTTACATTTAGTAATTAGTCCTGTCTCAATAAACACATGCACACACATGCATGCACATACATACACAAATTATTTAAAACCTTAACATTTTAATAGTTACTTTTTTTGTGCTTTAACTTAATCTCATTTTGAGTTAAGAGGAAGTTAGTGCCTATGTAAATACAATTTTTAATCATATTGTGATTTTTCTGATACAGGAAAAATATTTTTTTTTCTTAAATATTTTATTTATTTATTCATGAGCGACAGAGAGAGAGAGCGAGAGAGAAAGAGAGAGAGAGGCAGAGACACACAGGCAGAGGGAGAAGCAGGCTCCATACAGAGAGCCCAACGTGGGACTCGATCCCGGGTCTCCAGGATCATGCCCTGGGCCGAAGGCAGCACTAAACCGCTGAGCCACCCAGGATGCCCAGAAAAAATATTTTTCCATCTAGTATACTCTCAAATCTTAAAACACTTAAATATATGTATTTTCTCAAAGTCTATGTTTCTACATTATCAATTGTTTCCTTTGGAAATAAGCTCACTAGCATTCACTGCATGAGCTATGCATGAGCATGTTATAGCTGCCATCTTTGCCTGGCAAAATAAATATCTTGTCATTTTGCTAAGTGTTGGATAATTCTCTGATCCTTAGTGTTTTGGAGAACAGATTTTCTTTTAAATTAGTAGTAGATGAAAGAATAATTTTCAAAGTAATAAAGTTTACCCATGCTTCAAATATCTTTATAACTCTGAAAGTTATCTTTAGGCTTCTGTTATTTCCAAGGAATAAACTGAAACAAAATTTATAATTATCTTGCTGTCAATCAAAAGAAACATGTACGATTTATTTGTTTTTTTCTAATTGAGGAGTCAGAAGAATTTGCAGATCAAATCTTGCTAACTCAAATGTTGTAAAATTCCTTATCATTCTTTCAGTTGTAGGTTTATAGTATAATTTGGCCTGAGTGAGAATTTACAGCTAAAATTCAAAATGCATGTCCTTTTTAACAATACTATATCTTCATATGAAAAAAAATGGTCTTGTTATAAAAACAAAAATCATTTTACTACAGTTTTAGTTTTATCATTCCCTACCACTGATACTTGCTAGCGCATAAAATCTTTTCATATTCTGGCATAAAAGCCATATGTGAATGTAATTTAATTTATTAAGAATTTTCTGATCTGTCCTCCTCTTTGTCTTGAATAGTACCTGATGACAGAGGTTTCCAACATTTTTAAGACATTATTAGAAGTAAATATTTATTATACAAGTTTTATGACTATATTTAATATATATTATATATAACATGTATATGTGTGTATATTTCATATGTGTGTGTGTGTATATATATATATATATATATGTATATACACATACATACTCACAGAACAAGAAAAAGGCCTAAATGACAGCCACACTTTTGCTGCTAGGAAGAGAATCTTGGAGGTGTAAAATTCCTGGCCTTCTCTTGGCCTACATTGTGTGATGAACAGTACAACTTATCATTCCTTTTTCTCTTTTCAGCCTCGGAATGGATGGCTTTGGCCAATCAGTTGGCATTCTTGGACGTCCTGCCACAGCTTATGGATTCCGCCCTGATGAACCTTACTACTATGGCTATGGATCTCGATAAAGTCATCCTTTTCCTTGTGTACTCTCAGCTTAGAAGAAATCTGTATGGGTTGGGTTAACTTTGAATCTTGGCTAATAATGCATGTTGATATTATTGCGGGTCTGTGGGGTTTTTTTTTTTTATTTTTTTTCCATGTTGTTAACTACAAATTAACTCTGATACCTTTGTCCTCTGTTAGGTACAGTTGATGTTTGACACTGTTCACTCATGAAACTACATATTAATGCTGAATAACATTTCCCATGTTATAAAGAGAGATGCAGAATTAAATACTGAAAGGCAATCAGACTGGAAAACAAACACTACATTATGTACATTAAGTGACTAATTTAATTTCTATTAAAAAGAAGGATAAAGTACAAATGAATTAGCAAAAGTCATGTGTTTCTGTTTAATGTGTTTCATTAAGAGTTTCATGCTTCTATACAGTGCATATGAATTTTCTTTTTCCCTGCCCATTTTTCCCCCTGTAAACTCTTGAGTTTTTCATGTAATGTGTGCTACTTTAAAATTTATAAAAAGAATATCACCTTTTTCCCCTATGCCATCTGCATTTTCAGGGTTGCTTCCCCAAGTTAACTATGTGTTTTCAATTAACAATGGAATATATGCCATAGATTGTTACATATATGTAGACTCTCTTCAGCAATTTGAAGTCTTTTCTTTCTGATTTTAAGGTAGAAAACCTGACATCTGTTAGTGCACATGAAACTAGATTCATACTAAGCTTTTAAATTTTATCATTCATGAAACCTAAAGTGTGGAAAGCTGTCTAATTGAGGAAAACTAAGGAACAGCACTTTTTCTTAACTGTTTCCCATTCATTTACTTGTATTTATAAGATTTAGGTGGTAAGAAATAGACTTTATAATTATTAATGAGTTTTGAAAGCAACTCATTAATGTTACAATGTTGGAAATTTACTTGACATACAAAGCAAAATAAATAACTATAATCTAGAGATATTTCCTTGAGCACCTGCTATTTAGAGAGAGGAATTATATGACGCTTTGAAGGAAATATATAAATCAAAAATAAGACTTCTGTCCTTAAATTTTAAAACCTCTGTGATCTACTACACTATTTATTTGGCTTAATTTATATTTTAAGCATAGAATAATAGAGCTAGAAAGGGCCTTTTAAATAACTCTATGTATTTGAGAAACCAAACATAAAAATTTGAAATATCATAAACAGATTTTCTTAACCACCTGCTACGTATCAGGAAGTATATATGCTCCTAGGGTATATGTGAGTCTAAGATATGATTTGTGTCCGAACTCACAACGTAATTGATCTTTCTGAAAGTATACATTTATTTTGTCTTCGTTTCCATTTTAACTACAGAATATTAAAGGTAGAAAGGGCCTTTGATGCCAAACCCTGTCACACTCTTTCTTTTGGTTGAAAAAGCTGTTGGCTAGAAGAGATGAAAAGACTTGCCCAAGCTTATAGATTTGGTCAGACTCTGAACTATCTCCATGTTTCCAATGCAGTAACCTCAATACTAAATATCTTGCCTTATTATTTATAATACATACCAAGTAAAATACATGTAATAAGTGACATTAATGATGTAGGAAAAGACTTTAGGTTTCGAAGCCGATGGCCAGGAAAGAATTCTTGAGGCATCTTTGGTACAAAAAGATGATTTTATTAGAGCACGAGGACAGGACCTGAGGGCAGAAAGCTGCACCAGGGTCATGAGGAGTGGCCCATTATGTACCTTCAAGTTGGGAGGGAGTTTGGGATAGCGTCTCTGAGGAATTTTGGAAGCAAGGTTCACAGGATCTTGAGGGTGCTAGCTATTGTTGGGAAAGGGTCATTTACTACCATCTAATACAATCTGAGTCACGAGATCCTTCAAATGTACATTGGTCAGTCATATGCTTGGGGGCTGATTGCCAACATGAATCTCGCGGGGCTTAGAGATAAAGGAAATTTCTAAAGGAATCTTTTTATTTTATTTTATTTTTTAATATTTTATTTATTCATGAGAGGGGGTGGGCAGAGAGGCAGAGACAGGAGGCAGGCAGGCAGAGAGGGAGAAGCAGGCTCCATACAGGGAGCCCGATGTGGGACTCGATCCCGGGACTCCGGAATCACGCCCTGAGCCGAAGGCAGACGTTCAACCACTGAGCCACCCAGGGATCCCTCTAAAGGAATTTTTATATGTTAAAGTTGACTTAAAGGATCCTAGAGGTCAGGCTAAGACTGCCTTTTGCCCTTAGCAACATAGTAACATCAAGGCAGTTGAGTCCCTAGAGGAAGGTCACTCTGCCTGTTTCAAGGACTTTCAGTGTGCTGTAGGCAGTAAGGAAATTTCATAATTTTTCTTCTGTGTTTGTTTCCCTCATCAATTAATAGGAAGACAAAGCCAACATTGTAAAACATTGTGAGCTGATTTGGGAAGAACACCACCCAAATTCAGAACGTTTCTGGGGCTGTGCTCACTGAAGTTCAACGCACACACTCCCTCTCCCTGTATAATTTTCTCATTATTTTAGGACTTCACAAATTTAGAAATTGTGAACTTTCCACTCAGTCATGAGCTGGCTTATCTTTACATTATTTATGAAGGAAAATTTTACTAAAGGAATAAGGAAGAATATCTAAAATTCTTACATACTTCAGAGAACAGAAAGTTTTGGCCTTGGGCACTTTTAGAAATACAATTTATATGTAAGTCAGATATCTTGGCCTCACTAGATTTTGACTGCAAATTAAAGTCACATTTACTTCAATAACTAAATTGCCATGGCCGTAGGCCATGATATATAGCTGGAAATTATTTCTCCTCATGAGGTTTCTGCTCTTTCCGAGAGAGTTCCCTAAGGTGCTTTCTCACACAGGGCTGGGAATAGCTTCCTCATGTTCTGTTTCCTCCCCTTGTCTTCATACTGCTGCATCTCTGTTGGTCATCTTCATAAGGTTAGCGTTGCCCCCCAACCCCCACATGGCAGAGCCACTGCTGTGTCCAGTCAGGACTTGGGGACGAAGACACTCTACCCTTTCTGATCCCCTTCCATATGTAAGAGCAGTACCTATTCTGCGCAGCACAGGACAACTGAAGCTATACATTTTACCACGACTCCAGAAGCTCCAGAAATGACACATGAGGTATATCACACAAAATAACTTGCTATTATTACTAGTTGTAGCTGTGATCAGAGCTGGCAGTCAGAAGGCTCTCACTTGGCCTTGCATGGTAGGGCTGGCTCCATGCCACCAGAAGTATGCTAAGAATCTTTAGGACAAGCCTCAGCCAGATTGTCAGAAGGTCCCACAGAAAAGAATGGTTTTTCTTCAACCCAGTTGAAGTCCTGCTTTTAGAGTCTTTATTTCTTAGAACAAGATTAGTTTTTACCAGCTCTCTGGTCTTCAGTCATGAAACAGAATAGGGAGAAATATAAAGTGATCTTTCTACCTTTTTCCAACTGTTACCTGGAGGGCTTTTTTCTAAATCCATCCAATTGTCTTGATTATTGGCAAGTCTTCCCAAATTCTATCATTGGGGATACACTGAGGTTTTCAATGAGGTGAAAGGTCATTGGTTCAGATCATGATGTCAGGCTTATGAGACGGAGCCCTGCATCAAGCATTGGCTCTGCACTGGGTGTGGAATCTGCTTAAGATTCTCTCCCCTTGAAATACAAATCAAAACCACAATGAGATACCACCTCACACCAGTGAGAATGGGGAAAATTAACAAGGCAGGAAACCACAAATGTTGGAGAGGATGTGGAGAAAAGGGAACCCTCTTACACTGTTGGTGGGAATGTGAACTGGTGCAGCCACTCTGGAAAACTGTGTGGAGGTTCCCCAAAGAGTTAAAAATAGAACTGCCCTACGACCCAGCAATTGCACTGCTGGGGATTTACCCCAAAGATTCAGATGCAGTGAAACGCCGGGACACCTGCACCCCGATGTTTCTAGCAGCAATGTCCACAATAGCCAAACTGTGGAAGGAGCCTCGGTGTCCATCGAAAGATGAATGGATAAAGAAGATGTGGTTTATGTATACAATGGAATATTACTCAGCCATTAGAAACGACAAATACCCACCATTTGCTTCAACGTGGATGGAACTGGAGGGTATTATGCTGAGTGAAGTAAGTCAGTCGGAGAAGGACAAACATTATATGGTCTCATTCATTTAGGGAATATAAAAATTAATGAAAGGGAATAAAGGGAAAGGAGAGAAAGTGAGTGAAAATATCAGTGAGGGTGACAAAACATGAGAGACACCTAACTCTGGGAAATGAACAAGGGGTAGTGGAAAGGGAGGTGGGCGGGGGGCTGGGGTGACTGGGTGACGGGCACGGAGTGGGGGCACTTGGCGGGATGAGCATTGGGTGTTATGCTCCAAGTTGGGAAATTGAACTCTAGTTAAAAAAAAAAAAAAAGATTCTCTCCCCTTTAGCCCTACCTCTCTAAATAGATGATAGAGATAGATAGATAGATAGATAGATAGATGATAGATAATAAATAAATAAATTTTTAAAGGTACAGGAACAATAGCCAAGATAGAAGAAAACATCTCTGAGCTAAAAAGGATTTCTCCCTACAATACAGGAATCATTTTTAAAAATTGGTGTGACATCTATCTTGACTTATCTAGAAAAATTCTTGAGAAAAATGAATTAAAATCTCCATAAGAATATTGAAAAGAAATATAAAATGCCTTCCAAGAAACAGACTGTCCGCAGGATTCTGACATTAAGTGGCCCTAACTAAAGAACATTCCCTGACCCAGAGTAAAGGGAACTTGACAGGTTGTAAGTGCGCCTGGCAGGATTTGAGATTTGTGATGAACCAATAACTTCTGCATATCTCCCACCACTCTCCTTTTGGAATGCAAGTATCCTTTGTGATTATCCTGTCCCTGCTTCAATCATTGTATGTTGGGTGGGAGTGGGCAGGGTAGGTGGCAAATAACTTCTCGCAGTTCATAACACCCGAATCAAGAGGAACCATGAAAACCACACCCAAGAAAGCTCATTCAAGCTAGAACCTAATGCCATAATGATATGAGACTTTTGGGAGAGGAGGTGAGTATATTTTGATGTGAACAGAATGTCAATAATTGTGGCCAGGAAGCAAAATATATTGATTGAAAAAGGTGGCCATAGTATTCTTCAGTCTTCACATCATGAGATACTCTGTTTTATCGTGTCTTAAATTTGGGCTCACATTGTACTTTGCTTCGACCAACAGAATGTGGCAGAAACGATGTATGAGTCTAGGGCCTGCACCTCAAGAAGACTTGCAGCTTCTGCATTTGGCCGTGTGGATTGCTCCCTGAGACTGACATGCTGTGAAGAACTTGGAAGAGAAGCCCAGCCATCTCAGCTGTCTCATTGGGGC